CCAGCAACTTTGTTTTTGTTACAGAAATAACCTGTTTTGTTATAAGTCTCACGATCGTCAAGTGTGTTCTCATTCAATTCCTATTGATGGAAATGTCTTATCCACTGAAATTTCTAAAGCACAGATTCAATTGCTACCTTCCTTTTTAATGAATTGGTTTTTAAACTGTCATGAAGATCTTTTTATATTCTTTTTTTTTTCTTTTCTTCTTGAAGTTATCTGACTCCTCCTGGGAACCAGGGATTTGCACCACATTATGATGACATTGAGGCATTTGTGATTCAGCTGGAAGGTAAAAAGTGCTGGCGTGTCTATGACCCTAGGTATGTAAAATGTGCTCTGTCCATTGAGACAATAATGGCTGGCACTTAGACTATTTGACCTAAGACACACACTGTTTAACTAATCGTTCTGTGTTTTAACTAGCACTCATTTCACTGCAATAAAAGGGATGGAAGTCTATGGAAAGGACATAACAATTCAGAACATTTCCCACCACTGTGCCAATTCCAGTATCACTGCTAAAAGGGTGCATCCCAGTGTTCCTTTGTTGAAAGCAGCAGACACCTGCTTTCAAAAAAATAATGGAGTCACCAGACTGAAAGAGAGCATATTTCCTGCCAATTATACTATGTTCCCATAATTGTTATTATCAGTTGAAAAAGTGGAAGAGAAAGGCATTTACGAACAGTTGCGTGTATCTTATGACTGTCACTTCACATTATGCTGCACACTTCTGTTGGAGTAGATGGATAGTCTTTATAAATGAGTGATCTGAAGGAAGTTAAGAAATTACTATGCCCTATTTCTAAGTTGTTAAGAATAAAGGTGTATCACTTGAAAGCTGTTGTCTCTGATTTTGTACCTTGTAAAAACTCACTCTCTAATGGCACTTATGGATTTACCAACAGCAAATGGACTGCAGTGATTTAGGAAGGCAGCTCACCACCTCTTTCTCAAGGGCAACTAGAGATGGGCAATAAATGCTGGCCCAGCCAGTGGGTAGAGTAAAACTGTGACCCAGTATAACTCTCCTTTTCTGTGGGAAGCTCCTGACCTCCAAGCTTAGTATGTGTAAACTGTCTTATAAATAGGAAAAAAAACAGCTCCTGATGACATTGTTCTTCAGAGTAATGTTTCTACGCTTACTGTAACACACTGATGTTACTTTGCTTCTTTTTTTCCCTGTCCAAGAGATGTATATTACTGTGCTTTTTCATGCATTCACAGATCAAATGAAGAAGTTCTTCCAAGTAATTCAAGCCGTGAGTACTTGAGTTGTATTTGGCTCTGTTTATAATTTTTAACATGATGTTGAGACATTTTACACTAACAACTGCCTTAATGTCTTAATATGATTATTCTTTGCCATTTGTCCTAGGTAACTTTACTCAGCAGGAAATGGGCACTCCTATTATGGATACTGTACTTGAAGCTGGGGATATGTTGTACTTTCCAAGAGGCTTTATCCATCAAGCGTCCTGCTTATCTGAAATACACTCTCTCCACATCACCCTGTCAACTTACCAGAGGAACTCTTGGGGAGATCTGCTACATAAAGTAGGTGGATGTTTCTGATATTCAAGAGTCCTGCAGGGAGGAGTCTTATTATTTTGTGACAAACCATTTTCATTTTTGTTGTTTTGATTTCTGCATAATCCTATTTGAATATTCGCCATGAGGTGATTAGCCTTACAGGAAGGCTTACTTTCAGCTCTTCAGCTGCGTGCCATGAACCATCATATAGTATGCTGTGCAGGCTCACGCATCAGGATAACTTCAGGTTCAGTTTTTCATGTATGCTGAGTTAAATAGTATCAATGACACACTCTAATTTGTGATCAGACTCCAATTAAAAGGGCTTGTAAATGTTGATGCTCTCAAAGAAGAGGTCTTGTGGTGTGGTGTGGTGTAGTGTATCTGCTTCGGGGCCAGAAGGTCCGGGTTTGAGTCTCACCTGCCTTGGAGATTTATTATGACATTTGCAGACCAGTTGATTAAAGGCCGCCTTTTTATGCTCTCGATTGCTGTATGCTGACCCCCTAGTTTTGTGAACAAAAACAGAAGTTGCTGGAAAAGCTCCGCCGGTCTGGCAGCACCTGTGAAGAAAATATCAGAGGTAACGTTTCCAGTCCTGTGACCCTTCTTCAGAACTAAATTTTGTGTGTGTACATCTGTAAGAACAGAATAGAACAGACTTACTGAGCCGGATTTTGTGACTCCCCCTGCCAAGTGTCTTTTCGACAGTGGGCATGTAATATGAAGGGTGGGTAGCTCAGTCCCTTCCTGCCCAACCTAACCTGGTTCCTTTAATGGTGGGTGGGGAAGGCACCCACTGGGGCCCCTACCTTTGAGCCAGTTCAGGACCTTAAATGACCAATCAGTTGACTTCAATTCCCCTCTACTGCTTTCATACACTGGGCAGTGAAAGGTGAATGAGAGTGAGAAAGCTGTTTTTTTTTTCAATAAAGTTGGTGTAAGTTTTTTTTGGTGGGGGAGTGCCTGAGGACAGATACTATGTGTGTATCTATGGTACCCTCACCTTTGTGCCTTCCCACCTTACATCCAAAGCCTACCCCCACACTTTGCTCCTGTCCAAAAGGATCAGGACATAACTTTTCTCCCCCAACACTCTACACCCCACCAAACTGCCCCCTCCCCTCCCCACTATCGAATAAATACTGTACCCTCCACCCTTTCCTTCAGCTGTCTCCCCATGGATGCTGTCTGACCCACTGAGATCTCCAGCATTTGTTGTTTTCAGTACAGATTCCAGCATCTGCAGTAATTTGCTTCTACTCAGGACATAACTAGGTGCAGTCGCCAACAATCTTCTTGTTTGTGACAGGCTTCTCCAATGGGGTGGTGGGGGGTGGGAAAAGAAGAATTGGGGAAAGTGAACAATAACATCACCAACCCCCATGTAAAATTCAGGCCGTGGATTCCATGATAGCAAATTTTGCAAACATACTCCCAAGTTTCACATCTGGATAATACTCTCATGGCGAGGTACAGTTGCCAGTTCTTGGCTATACGTTTTCCTTCACTCAGCTTGTAGAGGTTTTTTACTGTAAATTTGCTGCAAGTGCAATCTAATATCGGTGTGGTAATGGACCAACAGTGCTTCTCCTCAACTTATGAGAGTTAATCATTTGAGGAAGATACAGGGACAATCAAAGTGAGCTATTTCAAGTCAAGGTTTTGCTTTAACAATTGTTCTGATGTTTTAGAGGTGTTTAGGCTCCTTGTTGGACACCACAATTTTCTGCAATAAGTTTAATATGCAATTAATGTGCAAATTCAGCAAGTGCTTAGAAATAGCAGGGAGGCCAAAGAGGAGGTCCTGTCTCTGAAGCAATGGTGGAACAATGTAAATTGACCAACACGTTCTAAAGCTCTGTTGTTCTCTTAATCCCCTGAAATTGCTGACCCACTTACGTATTAATAAGTGTGCACTGTTAACCCAGTTACTTATGCAGCGAGATTTGATGCTGTATGTCCTAAGATAATTACAAGTGATGTTGGTTTTATTGTTCAGTATAAATTTTGCAATTGCAGATATGCTACAGCAGCCTCCAGTGGCAACAGTAAGCTATTGCAAGATCACTACTCATGTTCTAGATTCTTTGGAGGCTTCATGGATATTTTGGGGGACCAAATTCCACAAAGCACATCTCAAACTGTGAATTAGTGGATGTTTTCAATCTTGATTGTTTTTCTATAACTGTTGCAAATATCTTCGGTTAACAGGAATGCTAAAATGTGCCAAAGCTTCTTTTTCCATTATAGTTATTATAATGATTATAATAAAGGTGTATGATATTTTATCATTTGGAAGTTCAGATTTTTTAGAATACAATGTATTTTAGTTTCACTTATGTGAAGATAGCAATTTTATTAAGCGGTTACAAAGTGATTTAGCGTAGACACCTAAATAATCGTTTCCAGGAAAACACGTAGTTTAGTTAAATGCCCAGCAGGATCCTTGTGGTGTTGATTGATGGCATGTTTACTGTACAACATACAGGGAAACCAGAATAGGAGCCATAGTTAAGTTTGACTTCAGCTCAGAAGAATTAGAGTTTCAATTCCAGAGAACTGTTCCTTCCTAGCAGGGTATCAGGTTTGATGTTCAGGAGAATAGTCGCCCCAGCTGAAGAGTTTTAATTTGTAAACCTCTAAGCTGTGAGAACTCATTAAAAGATTTCCATGTGTCATAACTGAACAGAGGCCATTAGGACTGAAATAAGTTGTAAAACTGTCTCAAAACTCTAAGAAGGAGAACTAAGAGTTAAGAAAGAAGGAGAAACTAGGAATTAAGAAAGAAGTTAAAGGGTTGAGATCAGTGTAATATATTTTTCTGGAACTTTATATCCGTAAAGATGTTAGTGGGAAACAGATCAGGACATTTTTCTGTTTATGTTGAGATTTTCTAAACTTAGAGCTTTTATAAATTCTTTTTTATAATACAACTTGTGTTCTTTTGTGAAAGAACATTGCCGACCTCATAAATATGTTCAGTGACCACCCAACTGTAAAATAAAATTAAACTCATGATCTATCAAGCAGAGTTTCACTCTAGGATCTGACTTGTCCAGTATTACCAACAGCTGGGATCATCACATCATCTATTCACTAGAACAAGTGTTAGTGTGAAAGCAGGGCATATTTGACCTTGAACTTGTTAGATTTCCATGTTGGCACAAAGATTGTCTCTAGATGTAATTAATCAATCTAAATACAAATGATGTATATTATTAATTTTATCCATAATGACATATGACTCCTGCAGATTATTTATTTGAAGTAATTTGTAAATGTGACCATGTGGGCTGGTTTTGAATGGCACATTTTCCACCATATCTTAATCTTTCATTTTAAAATACAATATCCTTAACATATTTATCATTTTCTTTTTATCGCAGCTTTTTCCTGGTGCCTTGGACTTGGCTATAGAAGATGATGTAGAATTCCGTGAGGGTTTGCCTCTTGATTACCTGGAGTATATGGGAGTTCAGAATTCTGAAAGGGTAACTTTCCACTTTTGCAGTTCTATGTTTAATGTCTTGTCTTCCTTCAGTTTTCTAATACAGCTAATGTTATCAATAAAGCTTACAAGCCAGCACATATTTTCTTTTGATTAATGTAACTTCTCAGATATGGAGGCGGATGTGTGTTTGTCTTTTCCTTATATCATTTTTTTGAGATGTGAACCCAACACTGGCATTAGTTATTGATTGACTTTAGTTGCCCTTGAGATTGATCATAAGATGATAAGAAGTAGGGTCAGGGATGAGAGAGTAACCAGGGAAAGATTAAGACCCAAGGGTCTGTGTGTGGAGCTGGAAGACACAACCAAGGTTTTAAATGAACACTTTGCAGCTGTAGAGAAGAACTGTGTGGGTGTGGAAATCAGGGGGGGACACTGTGATAGACTTAGACAAATTAGTATTGAGGGAGAAGAGGTATGAGTGATTTTAGCAGGTTTGAATGTAGATAAATCCGCAGCTACAGATGAGAGATTTCTCAGGCTTCTGTGAGAGGCAAGGAATAAGATTACAGAGGGTCTGACATTAATTTTCAAACCCTCTCTGGCCACAAAGGTATCAGAGGACTGGAGGACAGCTACATGGTACTATTATTCGAGAAGGGTGATAGGAATAGACCAGGAAACTACAAGCCAGTAAGCCTAACATTTGTGATAGGGAAACTATTGGAAAATATTTGAGGGCAGAATTAATCTTCACCTTGGAGAGGCAACAGATAATCAAAGATGATCTGCATGGCTTTGTAAGGGAGAGATCCTGTCTAATTTTTGTAATTTTTGAGATGACTGTACTTAGAGATGAGGATAGTCCAGTTGATGTAATGTATTTGGACTTCAGTAAGGCTTTTGACAAGGGTGGCACGATGGCTGAGTGGTTAGCACTGCTGCCTCACAGCACCAGACCCAGGTTCAATTCCACCTTTGGGTGACTGTCAGTGTGGAGTTCTCCCCATTTCTGCATGGGTTTCCTTTGGGTGCTCCAGTTTTCTGTCTTGGTCCAAAGATGTGCAGGTTAACCAGATTGACCGTGTTAAATTGCCCATAGTGTCCAGGGATGTGCAGGGTAGGTGATTTAGCCGTGGGAATTGCAGGGTTACAGGGATAGGGTAGGAGGTGTGAATCTGGGTGCAGTGCTGTTTGGAGGGTTGGTGTGGACTTGATGGGCTAAATGGCCAGCTTCTGCACTGTAGGGATTCAGTGATGTTATGATCCATGACAAACTGGTTAAGAAGCTGAGAACCCATGGGATCTAGGGCAATTTGGCAAATTGGATCCAAAATTGGCTTGGTGGTAGGAAGCATAGGGTGACAGTCAAAGGGTCTTTTTGTGACCGAAAGGCTGTGTCCAATGGAGTGTCTCTTGCTGGTCGATGTGTACATTAAAGGTCAAGTCATGAATGTGGAAAGTTTGATCAGTAAGTTGGTAGATGACACGAAAATTGGCAGTGTGGTAAATAGCGAGGAGGAAAGCCTTTGACTGTAGGATGATATAAAAGGGCTGGTCAGATGGGCTGAATGGAATTTGATCATGAAAAGTGAGGTGATGCATTTTGAGAGGACTAGCAAAGCACAGGAGTGCAAGTTGAATGGTAGGACAAGGCATTTGAAAACATCTTCATCCAGAAATGCCAAGTGAACAATGCATCGTAACTGCCTCCGGAGGTCCCCAGTATGACAGATGAAAGTGTTCAGCCAATTTGATTCACTCCATATGTTATCAAGAAACAGCTGAAAGCAGTGAATACTACAAAGGCTATGAGCCCCAAAAACATTCCAGCAAATTTACTGAAGACTTGTGCTCCAGAACTAGATGTACTGCCAGCCAAGTTGTTCCAATACATTCACAACACTGGCATCTACCTGGCAAGGTAGAAGTTTTCCTAGGGATGTCCTGTCCAAAACAAAGAGCAGGACAAATCCAACTCAGCCCAGCAATCTACTTACAATCAGCAAAATGATGGAAAGTGTCCAACAATCAGCAACATTTACAGAACAACGTCTGCTCAGTAATATTCAATTTGGATTTCTCCAGCTCCACTCAGCGTCTCAACCCATTGCAGCCTTGATACAAACTTGGGCAAAAGACCCAAACTCAAAAGAGGAAGTGAAGATAAATGCCCTTGACATCAAGGCAGCATTTAATCATCTAGATGAGTGCAGCTCCAATAACACACAAGCTTGACAATGCCCAGGCTAAAGCCATCTACTTGACTGGCACCCCATCCAACACGTTCCACTCACTCCTTCCACCACCAGTGCACAATGGCAGCAGTGTGTAGTATTTACAAAATGCATTGCAACAACTCACCGAGGTTTTTTAGATAACACTTTCCAAACACATAACCATGATCTAGAAGGACAAGGGCAGCAGATACACTGGAACCCCGACCATGTGCCGGTTCCCTTCCAAGCCACGTATCATCAGAACTTGGAACTATATTACCTTTTCTTCACTGCTGGGTCAGACCTGGAATGCAGTCCCTTAACAGCACTGAGAGTGTAACCACACCACAAGGACTGCAGTTATTGAGGAAGGCTTCTCAGGGGCCTTGTCTTTTGTATTGATGTACTGGATTCTCCTTTTATTGACAATGGGATATTTGTGGAGCCACCTTCTCTGCCTCCTCCAATGAATTGTTAAATTGTTTACCACCATTCATTGCAAGACTGCAGAGCTTGGAGCTGATTTGTTTTAGAATTGTTTAGCTGTACCGCATGCAGCTTGTATTTTCACCAGTTTGATACGTTATTACTTATGTCTAGTGCTACTCCTGGCATACCGTCATGCATATTCAATAAACCAGGGTTGATTCCCTGTCTTGGTGGTAACAGAGTGAGGGTTGTGCCTGGCCACGAGCTTTCAGATTGTGATTGAATACAGTTATACTGCTACAGACAGCCCACAGCGTCTCATAGTTGCCTAATCTTGAGTTGCTAGATTAGCAGCATCATTGCTACTTTAGTTTGAGATCTCTCCTATCCAGCAGCATGGTAGTGCCACACATGACAATGGAGGGTGTACTCCATCTTTGTACAAAGTTTTTATCCTTTTTTCCTAAAAGACAACTCTTATTATTTTTAGCTTCTAATGACAGACTCTGGTATCATTATATTTTGACATAGTTGCATTTTCGGGGCCAAAGCACTTTTTTTGTTATGCATTGTTACCCCTTTGTGGTACAATTTTATAAATCCTAACCAGTTGTGCCTTTTTATTCATTATTTTGTAGATTTTATAGGGACGTTGCTTGTATTGGTTACATGTGCTTTACCCATGCAGTCCAAGTTTCAAATCCTACAACTGCAAACACTTGACTGCATCTGAATTTTCTTTTTCAGGAGGATGACCCACGGAGGGACTCATTTAATAAAAAGATTTATAATCTAATGAGGAAGTTACTCAAATATGCACCAATTGATGCAGCTGTTGATCAGAAAGCCAAAGATTATATTCATGACTGCTTACCCCCTGTACTGACAAAAGGTACTTTGTTTATTTTATTGCTTGTTGCATTTTCCTCTGGTTTGGGGTGTTAGGGTTATTTGTCCTTTTACGAGTTGAGCAAGTCTGGGTAAAAGTCCTGTGTTCATAGAGTGTAAAAAGAGTTTTTATCAAAGCTTCACATCTTGCACTCATTAGCAAGAAAATATAAATTTAAAGAGAAAAATAAAATTTATACTCTGAGAGCAGGATGCCTATTGTTTAAAATGCGAACTCTGAGATGCTGCCACGGAGAGTCTCATAAACAAAATTACCAAATTTTGTTTAAACTTCCAATCAAACTGGTTGGCCAAGGCATTACCCTGAGAAATGAACCAGAGAATGGCTGTCACCTATTGTATTGAATTTAAACAGGTGTAATGTGTGTATGTATTCTTTTTGACAACAAAGAGCAGGGCTCTGTGTTTAATAAGTGTACTATCCGTACATTCAGGTGATCACATGCCAACCACCCTAAATTGATTTGGTTTTATTATTGTCACATGTACAGAGATACTCTGAAAAGTATTGTTTTGCATGCTAACCAAACAAGTCATGCCTTCTGTAGGTACATCAGAGTAGTAGAAGGGAATGCAGAATATAGTATTACAGCTAGAGAGAAGGTGCAGAGAAAGATCACCTCTGGATTATTTAGCACATGTTGGCCAGAACATCTGTTGTTGGGTGCTGTGTTGTGAGTTTTGTAAGTGCAGGCTGGTTGAGTACACTCCGTACCTTGCTTGTTACAAAAAGCCAAAGGGCTGTACTGTTTGGTATAATTCACCAGTCTTTGAGATGTATATCTACATACCTGACATCACACCCAACACTGGTATTGATATACCACATTATTCATTTGTTTGATAGACAAAATATCTTTTTGGCTGTTATTGGTAAATGCTAGCCATGTTATGGCATAGTGGCAGCATGAAATAGCTAGTTTCACCCATCGCTCAAATGTTTGAGCTATCTTGCTTCTCCAGGGTCATCTGAGGTGGACTGAGCACTTTTCAGGATTAAAAGTGAGTTTGCACAATTTACAATGAGGAATTATCTCGTTAGTGTAGTCATTATCCTGCAGAATTGCCTTTATTCACCATATTTCATTATCAAGTTTGGATAGTGAGTAAACTGCTCAAAGCCTTATTTACGTGGTTGCTAATAAAGCAATAGCCAATGTTGGAACCAGTAAATCATCAGTAGGGTGGTGGAAGAACTAGAACCTTGAGGGACAAAAGCTGCTCACAGGAGGAGGATCTTTTGTAAAGAGGATTTGTGTTTTCTTTAAGAACACATGAAGAAGTGAGCAGGGAACCAACTCATGTATTCCTTGCCGCAGCTGTATTGGTCATGAAAATTGAAAATTAGAGACTTTTATGAGTAACTGGATCTTGGGCAGATCACTACAGCATCTCCATGAACCGAGAGAGAGCAATAATCGGAATTTTAACCTTCTTCTAATGTTATGGAGAGATGGCAGGAGAATGGGGTTGAGAAACATACCAGTCATGATCGAATGGTGGAGCAGACACAGTAAGCCAGATGGCCTAATTCTGCTCTTGTATCTTATGGCCTAAGATAAAGCACTCAGTTAATAACCTGTCTTTATCAACAACTAACACATCACGTAAGTATGGTTTCTTTCTTTCTTTCTCCCTAATCTTTCCTCTTGCCCCAACTTCTGATGGAACTGCCTTAACTGACATGAGGCCAACAGAAAGAATTTCCTTCAGGTGATTGATTTTAGATGAAAGTTCGAATTATGTTTCAATTTCAACTTGTAATTTCAACTTCTTCATTTCTGAAGAAGGGTCTAGGCCCGAAATGTCAGCCTTCCTGCACCTCTGATGCTGCTTGGCCTGCTGTGTTCATCCAGCTCTGCACCTTCTTATCTCTGTAATGGCATGTAATATTTTGTATACAGTCAAAAGTGCACCTGCCTAGTATTAAATATAATTGTGTTTTTCACTTCTAGAGGAACTAGCGTGCACTGTATACAGTGCACCAGCCCGATGGAGAGATGGTGGGCCACGCAATGTTGTTCTACAAATCCGAGGAAGTACCCGGATACGAATGCTTCGCAGTAATGTTGCCAGGTCCCTTATTTCTACTTTCCCTATTCAATATGTTTCAGAATAATATCAGTGTGAAATCTCATCAAATGTGGTTTTTATGAATTTAACTTGACATGCTTTTGGTTCATTTGCAGGTACAAAATAATAATGCTGTATGTCCTACTAAAAAAAAAGAAACTTTGACTCCAGGTTGCACATCCTCACTATAATGGTCAAAACGTTTTGACCGGAAGTACTAACCTTTGGATATTCCAATACATCTCTTCCAATTTGGTTTGATCAAATATTTTTGAATAAAAAAGAAGTATAATAGACTCATCTTTGCTGAGTCATGATCGTCTGTGCTAAAAATATAAAACATTATTTGCTGACAGCCATGCTGCTCAGAATACTGAACATTTCCATGACAGTTCTTGAAGGAGAGCAGGGAAGTTCTCTCAGGCATCTTGGCAAATGTTGAACTCTTGTCCAACACTATTGAAACCAAAATAAAAACCAAAAGAGCTGCAGATGCTGTAAATCAGGAACAAAAACAGAAGTTGCTAGAAAAGCTCAACAGGTCTGGCAGCATCTGTGAGGAAAAAATTAGAGTTAATGCTATGGGTCCAGTGATCCTTCCTAAGAACTGATGGTTGCTAGGAAAAGAGATAGTAGGAACTGCAGATGCTGGAGAATCCGAGACAACAAGGTGCAGGGCTGGATGAACACAGCAGGCTTTTTTCTGAAGAAGGGTCTAGGCCCGAAACGTCAGCCTTTCTGCTCCTATGATGCTACTTGGCCTGCTGTGTTCATCCAGCCCTGCACCTTGTTGTCTCGGTTGCTAGGAAAACGTTGGTTTGTATGCAGAAAATGGGGTAGGGAGTAAACTACAGGATAAAGGACAGAACCCGAAAATAGAGAAGAGCAGTTGGATAGATAAAGGAGTTGCTAACGATCTGGCTGGGAGGGTGAATTGTTGTTAATGGGGACTGTTAGTGACTAACAATAGGTAGTGTGTAATGGCAGGCTGTATGATAACAAAGCCTGGTGTGTGGGGTAGGGGGCTAGGACATAGTAGAGTTTAGGCCCTAAAATTATTGAACTCAAGATTGAGTCTGGAGGGCTGTAGGGTATTTAAGTGGAAAATGAGGTGTTGTTCTTCCAGCTTGCGGTAAGCTTTGCTGGAATACTACAGCAAGCCAGAGACACAGATATTGGCCAGGGAACAGGGTGGTGTGTTAAAGTGGCAGTCAACAGGTAGTTCAGGGTCTTGTTTGCAAGCAGAACATTGATATTCTGCAAAGTGGTCACCTAGTTTACACTTCATTTCTCCAATGTAGAAGAGACCACATTGTGAGCAGCAAATGCAGTAGACTAGATTCTGGGAAGTGCAGGTGAAGTGTTGCTTCTTTGAGCCCTTGGACAGTGGGGAGGGAGGAGGTAAAAGGGCAGGTGTTGCACCTTCGGTTGCAGTGGAAGGTGCTGTGGGGAGTTGTTGGGGGTGAAGGAAGAGTTGACTAGGGTGCTCCAGAGGGAATGGTCCCTACGGAAGGTAGGCAAGGGAGGGGAGAGGAATATGTGTCTGGAGGTGGCGGAAATGGCGTCTGATGATCTGGATGTGGATGCTAGTGGGATGGTAGGTAAGGACCGGGAAATCCTGTCGATGTTGCGGGTGGGAAGAGAGGGGGTAAGGGCGGAAGTGCGGGAGATGGGTTGGACCCGGTTGAGGGCCCTGTCCACAATGGTCCTAGGGAATCCTCGGTCGAGGAAGAAGGTGGACATTTCGAAGGCTCCCTTGTCGTAGCTGGCCTCATCTGATCATATGCTACGGAGACAGAGGAACTGGGAGAATGGGACAGAGTCTTTCCAGGAAGCAGGGTGTGAGGATGTATGGTCCAGGTAAATGTGGGAGTCATTGGGTTTATAGTGGATATTGGTGGCCAGTCTATCCCCAGAAATGGAAACACAGATGTCAAGGAAGGGAAGGTAGGAGTCAGAGACAGATCAGGTGAAAGTGAGGGCAGGGTGGAAATTGGAAGCAAAATCCATGAACTTTTCCAATTCCGGACAAGAGAGAGAAAAAGCACCAATGATATCTTTGATATATCGGAGAAAGAGTAGTGGGTAGGGACTGGAACAGGACTGGAACAAGGAATGTTCCACGTACCCCACAAGGACACAGGCATAACTGGTGGTGTGTCAAAAAAAGTTCAGAGGGTTGGGTGGGAAGGGAAGTGATTAATAAGAAGCCAGAGTTTCAGGGATTTACAAGTCCATTACACACAGTAGTACTGAGATAATTGCTAGTCCTTGATAGCTTTAGAGGCTCATTCTCTAACACATGGCAAGCTGGATCAGAAAGAAAAGTTTAAAATATAACCTGTTCTATTACACTGCTGTATCTGTCAGTGATCAAGCAGCATCAAAAACGCTAGCCCAAATGATTCCTCTGTCCAGTCGTAATTAAACACTGCACCCAAAGTGTTAACATTTCCTTCGCTATCCGATGTTGATAAGCCTATAGTGTTTACTTGGCACTATCTGTTTCCATTCATTTTCCTTCTTGGAGAGCACAGATTGGGAGAACATATTGATGTCTGGAACTAACAATCATAAATATTTCAAGTACTATTCTGTAGGATAATTGCCCTAAAGTAAGCAAAGGAAAATACTTTCTCAGCTTGAAATTAATGCAGTAATTCAAAAGTGCTACTTTCCTTAAGCTCAAAGGTTTCTCCATTTATATATATTTTTGTATAATAAACCCCAGTAGAAATTCTCCTTTTCAAATAAGCAGTAATGAAATAGATGAGCAAAATGAATTGCTAAATTGTTCCCTTTTTCTGATGAAGGGTCTAGGCCCGAAACGTCAGCCTCTCTGCTCCTATGATGCTGCTTGGCCTGCTGTGTTCATCCAGTCCTGCACCTTGTTGTCTCGGATTCTCCAGCATCTGCAGTTCCAACTATCTCTGCTAAATTGTTCTGTTACCTTTCAGAATTGACCCATTCAGACTTTTCTATCTCCTGCGCATGTGCGCTGTCTCTCTCTCCCTCACCTCTCTTTCTTATGGAAATTAAGGAATTTTGGAAAAAAAAACAATCCCTGCACAATTTCTGCAACTTCTTTTTTTTATTAGGGCCCTGCATGCCATCTGGTCCTGGGGACATTTCGTGTTTCAGCGCACTTAGCTATTACTAGAGATAGGTATAGCTTCATGATGCACCAGAAATATCTGTCAGCAGTAGGGATTACGATACCATATAGAGACAAAGTCAGCTTGCTTTGGAACTCATTAGTGCCTAATGCTCTACCTGGCTGGCAAAATTAAAACAAAATCTGTTATTTAGCTCAGACTCTTCATCCTTTGATGTGACTTGAATGCTAATTGATGTAATTATCTACTTTGTTTGACCTCCGTAGATTATGTGGTGAGAATGGCAGCATATTGCTGTACTACACGATAGAAAATTCCAGAGACTACCACAAGGAGGATGAAAAATGCATAGAAATTGATCCAGAGGTAAGATGAATTGTGCAGGTTAATGCTAAATTAATTTGCTATGATACCTTTTTAAAAAGTTCATTTTCATGGAAATTTTCTTACAAAATTTCCTCATCGGTAAAAAATGGCCAGGGAAATGATTGCTGGAGCCATATACTAGTCTGTGTTTATTTCCTTTAGGCAGTATGTTGACCGTGGGTTGAGCTTTCAGAATTAAGTGATAAATAAGTTTCTGCAAACATAAATTGTTCATATTTCTGTTGCAGCTTGCTGATGGGGTGGAGCTGTTGCTTTGCTCATACCCGCAATATATAAAGGTTGATAGTCTTCCAGCTGGAAGTCTGGATGACAAGGTATGACATTTCTCAAGTATGGTAGAGTTCAAATCTAGAAATTATTTGCTTGCATGATCTGTGCTAAGGTCTCTGATTTAAACTGAGATGACTCCACCTGCGTTGGAATAAGGATTTGAGTTGGGATTTACGTAGAATTACATTGAGCTATTTCTGTCTTATATATTCAATCAGTCAGGCCAATGTTTATAGTTTACTTGAGCATCCTCTCAGCCTTCCTCAGTGTAATCCTCTTCTCTTTCATTTGCTAGTTTAACTTCCCCTTTGATGCAAGTCCTGCATTTTCATCACTCTCTGAAAGTACGTTTTTTTCTGAATGCCCTATTTAGGTTTTAATCTTCTATTGATGCCTCAAATTTTATTGATTCCACAAATCAGGAACAAAAACAAAGTTGCTGGAAAAGCTCAGCAGGTC